TTGTACCCGCCTGGGGAACCTTCCAAAGGGGGTGGCCTGGTTAGACTGCCTGGGACTCACTGGGCCAGCTCTTTTCTTCCACAAGGATTCTGAAGGTAGAGCATCACAGCAAAGCCAAGGGCTCCCAGGCCGGTTCAATCGGGTCACGGAGAGACCTTGAAAGCCGGTTAAGTGCGACTCGACTCCGGTTGGGGATTCAGGGTCTTTAACTCTTGAGATTAGAGGTTTTCTCCACGACCATTTCCCATTCCTTTGGGATTTAAGCTCTCTTTTTTGTCCCTCTGGCTTCTTTCCAGCTCATTTCGCTTTCTGCCTCAAGATGCTGTGCGGGGCGCCAGCTAAGAGCGCCGCGAGGCCTTAGGGCTCCGCGGACGCTGGAATCCCAACAGCTTTTCCTCCACGGATCTGTAGGCACCAGCGAACGCCCCCTGGCCCAACTTCCCCAGGGGCTCCGGGTGGGCGTGGCCATTAAAGAGGGGACACAGGGGCCTACACAGGGCCATTTACACTTTCACAGACTGTGGCCTGTTGGCACAAAAGGCTCTTTCGGGGTGGGGCTTCCCGTGCCCCGCGGACCGAGGCCTTCCCGGATGCCGCGCGCTTGCTCGGGGCTTTCTTTGCAGCTCCAGGCAACAGATGCAGGCAGCTGGCGCTGCCGCAGGCCAGATTCCGTCTTTGCAGGCTCACCTCCCGCCCGCGCCACAACGCACCCCGGAGCGCGACCGGCCCTGGGGCCCGGGCCGCAGCAGCCCGCATCCAGCATCCACTCCGGGGCTGGAGACGGCGGGCGTGGCCGGTGGCGAGCCTGTCGCCGGCTTCCTTTCCCCGCACTCGCGGCCTCTATTCCCCAGCCGGCTGCTGGGCGGAGGCTGAGCAAGTCTTGCTCCAGGCTGGGCGGGGGAGGCCCGGCGCCCCTCCCGGGCCGCGCGGCGCCGGCCGGCGGTGCAGTCGCGCGCTCGCCGCCAGCGAAGCCATTGGCTCGGCGCAGTCACCCCACGCGGGCTGCAGCGGCGGCCTCCGCGGATTGGCGCGCGGGCGGGCGTGTGCGTGCCGCCCGGGCTGCACCGAAGCCCCTCCGTCTTGGGGTTGTGCCCCCTCCCCTTGTTCGAAACGACCACCCCTCCATTGTCCCTGCGTTGCAGATGCTGCATCTGGGGCTGCTGCCAGCCCCAGTCCCGGATGCCCAGGCCCAAAGAAAGGGAGCCAAAGGCGCGTTCCCTGCTCGGGCGCACGCACCGACCGCCGCCCTCAACCGCACACTGCAGCATTTCGCGCTCCGGCGCCGCGCCCCTCCCAGCTTTCCCTCATTTGCATATCCCACGGTTGTGGCCAATCAGTGCTCGCCTCTCTCGAAGCGGATGGCTTTTGCCTGAGAGGAAAGGGAGTGGCTGGCGGCGCATGCGCCGCGGTGGCTGACTTGAACCGAGGCTTTTATTGCTGTAGTTTATTTCCACCCCCTTCCCTCCTGTTCTCTCTCTCTCTCTCTCTTTCTTTTTTTCCGCCCTAGCTGGGGCTGTGTTGGAGGAGAGGAAGAAAGAGCAACAGAGGATTGTATTTGTCCCTTACGTTCCTGAAAATTGCTACCAGCAAGACCAGCTAAACGGTTGTACCTTCTTCAATTCTGCAAAAAGTACCAAGTCCTCTTCCCAGCAATTTTTGCTTTAAAGCTGCCCTTTTGAAATTATTTTTTTTCCAGGAGAGAGAGATGTCTTATCAGGGGAAGAAAAATATTCCACGCATCACGGTGAGTTGGGTACTTGGGAAATGTGCGTTCGGCTAGCAACCTTTTGTGGCCCTGAACATCTAAGGAATTTTTAAAAGAGGGAGATGGAGAGGGACCCAACTTTTTAAAAAAATTTTTTTTCAGTTGCTAATGAAGGCGATAGTAGGGTGGTGGTGGTGGGAGATGCAGTAATAAAGAATTATAAGGCACATAGTTTGCAAGGCATTCAATTAGGAGCGTGAGTACATGGAGATAGCTTTAGGTAGCGCGCCAGATCCGCTGTATCCTTTTATTGTCAGCCCGAGATGCTGCAGTGCTGGCCTGCGGGGTGTAAGCAAATGGATGCCAGATTGAATATGCATGGTTGAAGCTCGATATTGTTCTCCGGGCTGCGTGCTGCGAGGCTGGACTCAGGAGCTGCGATGGGGAGCTGGGGAAATGGATCCTCCCTCCCCGTGTCTTCCGCCCCCACCATAAAGGGCTTTCTGGAGCCTTCCTCCGGCTCCTTGGAAGAAGGGACCGGTTTCAGCCCGAAGGCGTAATGACAGCAGAGGGATGCTGAAAAGGGCAGGGTGTAGCGGAATGATGGGGAAACGGGAAGGGAAATCGGGCACCGTGATGAGCAGGAGAGGAGGGCGGAGGCCCGGGCCAAGGCTTTTTGTTGACTGGGGACAGGTTTTGGGTAGTTCTCTTGTTTTTTTTTTTTTTTTTCCGCCCTCTTTTTTGAGGCTGGGGCCCTGGCAGGGCTCGGGGCTCGCTTTCCTGCGTCTTTTCTGCTTCTTGCGCCACCAGGGAGGCGTCCGTGTTGGCGCATACAAAGCGGGCTGGGAGGGTGGGCGCTGGGGACAGCGGCGAGCCGGGCTCAGAGAGGTAATGGCGCTGCGCGACGCGCCAAGCAGATGGCCCGGCCGGCCCCAGGCAGACAATGATCACAGCGGCCCGAGGTGTGGGCGCTGTTCTGGGGCCTGGAATTGTTGGTTTGTACATCACCGGAAAACCTCCGTGCCTTGAATTCGCGATGCTTCAGGGATGAGCACCGGTTCTTGATCCCACTCTCTCTCCATCTTTTCCTGGAAAAATCTCCCCTGTCCTGTTGTCTGCATCCTGGAATGAAATCCCAGGGAGGGGGAAAGCCAGGGAAATTCATTGTTATATAATGCTGTGCAATCGCAATTGGCCAGCTGATTCCCGGGTAGAACCCAAGGCCAACGCAGGCACCAAAGAATCAAACAGCCGAAAGGTGCTGTAGGGCTGGATTTGGTGTGTGTTTCGCCCTGGTTGTCCCTGTGGCCCCGGGCACCCCTGCTTCCTCTCCATGCACAAGGACACACCCATCCGCAGGAGAGAAGTGGGAACAAATGCGCTGGGGAGGGTCCTGCGCTTGAGATTTTCTGTGATGCGCTGGGTTGTTCAAGGAAGGTGAGTTGAAGGCAAAGACCCCAGATCCCAGAGGAGAGCGCATGGAGCACCCAACGGTCTATGTTCCTGCTGGAGGAAGGAGTCTGGGGAGCTAGGGAGTGGGGGTGGGGAGCAGATTTGCAGCAAGCCCCTGATAATTTGTTGTCTTCTTGAACAAACGAGGCAGTTTGGTTTCTCATTGACGTTGTGGGGAGGAAAAAAAAAATAGGCAAACAATCAAGACCGATTTTTAAATGTGCTCCCCTCCACCCTTGAAAAATTCTGGTTGCATTATCCTAGGACCCATAGCATGTTTTCCCTCCCTCCATCACCATGGCCAGTCTCTTATGTAAGAAGCCTTCTAGAAGGTACTGGAGTGAACAGGGCTGTGATATTTCGCTTTTTTCTTGACATGATGTTGGCTGGGGGATTTGTGGTAATGGCAGGAACAGGTAGGTCAGTGACTAAGGGGCAGGTGGTGAAGGGCAGGGTTTCTCCTGGTCTCCCAGGCAATGGAAGCTCTAGATCTGGGAGAGGAGGGATTATTATAGGCTCAACATCTCCCAGCCTCAGTTTCCCTGTCAAATGAGAATAGAATCTTCTTCCATCATGTTCTGAGGCTGCAACAGCCTGATGTACTTGACAGGATTTTGTAGAGGTATTGCCATTGATCATGATCAGTTTTAGGAATTGTCCACTGTTTCCATTTGACTTCCCAATATCTATGTCAGGATGAAAAAGCCCCTGCAGTGTTCAAAATGAAGATCATTTTGATTTTTAGTATGTCAGAGAAACAAATATGTGGAATGACATGTAAATTTTTTTTCTCTTTAGTAGCTTATAGATATATAAAAGATTTTCTGTAATTTCCTTTTCTTGGTAGCTGATAAATGTAGATGGCACTTGCTGTGAGTATTGTTTTTAGCTTAGTTTGGGTTAACCCTTGTCAAGATGAATGCTGTCCTTTGAGATGTGTTGCTTATTAAAGGGGTAATATATGGCTCAGCTTGTAAAGCTTGAATCCGGATTGAAATAAAATAGGTGCTTATTCACTGAATACACCACCTTCACATTCCATTTCTTCAACAGGATTTGGGATAGCCATGAGGCATAATGTGGCATTTTTGTTACATTCCTGGCCTTCCCATGCCACACAGCCTTTATTTTTTTGCACAAATATCACCAGTTAAAATATAAGTGCATTAGGAATCTATAGTGATGTTAGATTTTAAAATTTGCCATCTCATCTACTTTATCATAAAACTTTTCCTTTTTCTTAACTACATAGTGAAAATGGTGTAATTTCCATAGTCCCTTCCCTCCCTGCTATGCTTGCTGTGATTTGCCTCAAAAATAAATGTAAATATAAAAGGACATTCTGAATTGAAATCTTGTTGTGGCTGGACCAAGTGTGTTTGTATAGGGTATCCCCTGACAACAGACTTTTGGTCACTCTTCCCTGACACAGACCTTGCCAAGACTCTCCTAAGTGTGGGTGTGTTCCCCCCCCCTTTTTTTTTTTTTTAAAAAAAAATGAGGTTTAGCCAAAAGTCATTCAAAAAGTATTGTCTTCTTTATTTGGAATGTTTTCACTGCTCTTTAATCCCCCCCCCCCATTTTCTTTTGCTTTCAGGTTTAAGGTCTAATTGAAAGAGATGGTTGATTTTTGTAGAATAAGCTTTGCCAGTATGTTCTGCCTCATTGGATGATAAATTGTTTGCTCAGTACAGGTTCCCCTTTGTCACCAGAGCTTTCAAAAACTGGCTCATTGGAACATCGTTTCTGAATAGTACAAATGTGTCCTGCATTCATTTAACTTAGCACCTGTGTTCCTCATAGGTCGGCTATGTGTTGTGACTTTACTATCTTTTTGTTTCAGAGTGATCGTCTTCTGATCAAAGGAGGTAAAATTGTTAATGATGACCAGTCGTTCTATGCAGACATATACATGGAAGATGGGCTGATCAAGTAAGTGTGACTCATTATTATGTATATAGTATTTATATACCTCCCATTGATCCCAAGCTTTGGTACCCCTTTACACATGAAGTGTTGAATGTAGTGACTCAAAGAGTGACCAACTTAGTATCTGTTTTAAGTTCCATTTTGATTAGTGGTAATTAATGAATTTTTTTTTTTTGTAATTAATGAATTTGAGAATTCATATTTGCAGATTTCAAAGTTGCGGCCCCCTGCCCCCACCATTATGCCTTTGGTAAGGTCCTATTTTTTAATGGAGGTGACAAAATATCTTCTGTTGTCAGCTCAGATACTTGCTTTAGGGTATGTTGACGGTGTGAAAGGTTTCCTAGAATTTAGTTGCTTGGAATGGACAATCAAAGGGCACAGATGCGGAGTACAGCCTCTCATCAGGATAACCACATCTGCTCCCTCAATCAGGAGTCCAAGTTAGAGGCGCTACAGAAGGATACCAAGTTAATTACCAAGTGCCACAGACAAATTACTCCCTAATCCTGGGGGGAATTTTAGTTTTTATTCTCTTAAGTGGAAACTGTCTCAAATAAGGCTGCCCTTTGTATGTTGTATATTATGTCATGCAGGAGAACAACAGAACGGTTGTGAGTCTGGGTGTTTCTGGACTCTGGCGGGTTAAATGAGCAGAGTGCATACCAGTGTCCTCATGCCCTTCCTACTGGGACAGCTCCCAGGCTCTGGAGAAATAGCACATCTGCTTAACGACAAACACTGCACCCAGTGACATCTTTTAAATAAGCAGCCTTCATCAGGCACTAGCAGCAGGGCAGCCGGAGGAGTGGAAACCTGGATGTGCCCGCTGGCTGGAAGCTCACACCCTGATTTATGAACCGAAAATAGGGTTGAGCATTTCCACATTTAATGTTTTCTCCATGTGTGTTTCTTGTGACAGTCTCAGCTCTGGGCTCTCAAATGCTGTGACTTTCTTGTTCCATCTCCGCTCCCAATTATAAGGCAGCATGATTTGGCCTGGCAGAGGGACAGTGGCCTGGAAGGGAGGAGGCCTGAGTGCTATTTTTAGTCATCACTCATTTGTCTCAGAACTTTAATCAACTCCTCTTTGATTAATTTTTAAGACAGTAGAAAGATATAGTAAAAATATTTTCTTAAACATTGGAAATGAATCATGTCCCCAACATGATGAGTATTTGTTTGTCTGCCTTTATTATCTGAATGGCCAAGCACCTGTTTCCACATTTAAAAATCGAGACCATTATAGTGTTCACTTTTTTCCCCCTTTGGTTCCATCTCCACCCTTCCACCTCTGTTTTCTCTCTATTGAAAAGGATATGGTAAAAATAATGTTTGGAAAATGCATTCAGGTCTGAAGCAAATTGCTATTGGATAATTAGCTCAATGGTGTGTGTTACAAGAAGGTCAGATGACATATGAATACCTTGGGGCCTTGTTACCATTTGACCTTATTGGTTTCTGGTAGCTAATTTGCGAATGGGGCCTCTGGTGCCTTATGTAAATTTTGTTTTCTAGTTTATTTGGCTGCAGCGCCTTTTGTGGGTGAAGGGTGGGGGGGATCTCTGGTATTGAATGATGACAAGATTCTGAAAAGTCCCCGGCACATGGCAGAGGATAGTTTGGAGCTTAGTGAAGATAAGCTGTCAGATCTGATTTGAATCCACATTTTACTGACTGCCCTTATCACCAACCCTGTTTATTTAGGCAAATAGGAGAAAACCTGATCGTGCCAGGAGGGGTGAAGACCATTGAAGCGCATTCCAGAATGGTGATTCCTGGAGGAATTGATGTCCACACTCGTTTCCAGATGCCTGACCAGGGAATGACGTCTGCTGATGACTTCTTTCAGGGCACCAAGGCGGCCCTGGCCGGGGGGACCACCATGATCAGTAAGAAACACCAACTCTGTCACCACCCTTAGAGCCGTGAGACAGCAAATGAGCCTGTGTGGTTGGGTCTCCCTTTGAGAAGCTGATGAACCAAGCAGTGGTTAGACCTACTAAATAAGGGTCTGGGTGGGCTCGCCTTTGTCTTATTTCCTTGCTCTCGCTTTCTGTGGAACTTGGTGTTCTCCAGTTGAATTTGAGCATCTGGTTCTAAGGAATTTTGGTAGGAAGAGAGGAATGGCTTCTTGATTTCTCTACTTGAGGACTTTTATCTTCTTTGACCCCAAAATGTTATTTGGTTGTGAAAGTACAGCGTTTGAAGTCATCTTCAAAGCTACCTATTTTGAGCCTTCACTCATAAATATTTGATTTTGATTGAAAATAAAAAGATTCCTAAGAGTGCTTCCTCTTGGAATAAGGACAGGGTTCAGCAAATAAAATGCCCAGCCAGGAAACTTCTGTTCCACTGAGGTGAAAATCAAATGCGGTAAATGCCCTTTAGCCTGGGTTGGATATAAAGAATTAGGCAGCCCTGCTTGGTGGAGGAGCCACAGATACTAACTGTCCTTTAGATATGAAAACTGCTGGTACCCACGGCCAGGAGCCCTTTGTGTTGCTCAGAGGGCTGTGATGTTTTGGTTCAGCCAGATCCAAGGTCTATTTGCTGGACCCAGCATCGGTGCTCAGTTTGCTTGTGAACAGCCAGATTCCGGGAGGCCTTTTTGCAAATGTCATTTTTGTTTTGAGGAGGTGGGCACACTGCCTGGTGGCCCATCAGGTACGTATTTTAGAAAAGAGATTTTTTTTATCCAAGAGTGAAAGTCAACATGCTTCCTGTCTTATATGAAAAGCTAATAGTCTGGTTCAGAAGAGGGTCCAAGTGGAAGGAACTTCACCCCCGAGAGAAGCCAGAGTTTGTATCTTTCAGTGATGGTCTTTTTGACCTGTGGTTTCGAGGTCTGTCTGGATGCTTTTTTTTCTGTCTTTCCTGAGCTGGAGCAGCATTGCTCTGCTGTCCCCTCCCACTTGGAATTTCCCTGCATTTTAAATTGCAAGCTCACTCCCTGCTGCCCTCCCTGTCCCGGTCTTCAGCTCGGAAGCATCGGGACAGTTCTTTCCTGTTTTGCCTTCCTTCTTACCATGAGACAGCCTCCAAGGTTGAGGCTCACTATTTCTGCCTAGCTCCAGGCCTTGCCTTCTAGATTGTGGATGCCATCCTTTGGGGGGCCCTTTGTGCACACCCCAGGACTTGGGCCAGTGCGGGAGGCTGCCGCTTGACCGAGTGGGCCTTTCCTCCCTGCCTCCAGGGTGGTCTGGAGTCCCACCTGAGTCAGGAGGAGCATAGACCATTTCAGGGTCATCCAGGAAGGTCCACGTCAAGGTGATCTGCCTCCCTTCTGGGTGCAGACGTTGATCACAGAGGGTCAATAAGCCGTAAGTAATATTTCTTGAGTGAGTGGTTGGTGACGACTGTGGTTGGAGGAGTTGCCTGGCAGGAGCCCACTGGTGTAGGGGAAATGCTCCCAACTGGAAGTCAGCAGTCTGGTTCCCTTCCAGCTCTGCCTTGCTGTGTGATCTTGCACAGGTCACCTCACTTCTCTGTGTCTTAGTGACTCATCTGCCCAGTGAAGGATTTGCTGACCTGGTAGTCCTCTGCAGCTCCCCCATTTGGTCAGGCTCTGAGCTCAGTGAGAGATTTTACCTTAATGCACTTTTCTTGGCAGACGCCGAAGGGCCCTGTTACTTGAGAGGCCCTGTCCTCTCCTGCATTCCTGCATGTGTCTCTTCAACCCTTGCACTTGGCCGTGCTTTGGCCCCTTGCTCTGTTTCGTGTCCCTTCCTGCCTGCCTTCCCCTGCCACAGGGGCACATCCCTTTTGGCTGCCCCCCAGCTTCTTGTGGCCTTCTCCCCCAGAGGCTGTGGGCTTCTTTCCATTCATCCAGGTGGGTTCCTTCTGGGCAGTAATGAGAGGCATCTCATTCCAGGGCTCCTGGAACAGTCGGCAGATGGCCCCATGGGCAGATGGTCAGGGGAGCGAGCAGTCCAACCGGCTGCTGGGCCTGCTTGCAGGGAATGCGAAGGCGTTGAACTCATGGCTCCAGGATCAGTCGGTTTGGCTAAGGAGTGGGGGGATTTAATGAGCGAGCCTCCCAGAACGTGATCGGAGTCACACACTCAATTGAGGCAGTGTGCGCAGGGGCGTCACACCCCAAACTCCACTGCTTTTGTAGCCTGTGAGAAATATTAGCCACTCCTGCAAATAACCCCTGTGGTTGCTGACCCGTGTAGGATTCCCATCCGCCCGCCGTTCCCTCGGAGGGGAGGAGTAGCAGTACAGATGAGAAAATCGGGATTTTTTTTTTTTTTTTTCTGTTTTCTGCTTTCTGTTCATGCCTTGTGCATTGCCTCAAGTCAGTGAGTGGCCGGGGCTTACTTTATAGAGAAGGAGGCTTGCAAAGAGCACTTATTCAGTCCAGCTTGGTTGGTACGGAGAAGCTGCTTCTTCAGGGAGACCACAGCGCCTTGAATGCTTGTTGGAGCCAGGAGGAAAGGCTGGGGGAGTTTTGGACACATTCAAGTGCAAACTCGATGTGCCCACGGCTACTGCATAAAAAAGCAGTAGAAGGAAATTGGTACGAAGACCACCTGCACCGCCTCCTTCTCGTCTGTCTTTCTCCACACCTTGTCACCTGCCCTGGCCCATGTGTCTTCTCCTGTCCCTTTGCTGGCTGTATGTCTCCCAGGTCCACAGACCTTAGAGGTTCCATTTCTGACTGCCATGGCATTACCCATGAGGAACATGAAGCCAAATGTTCCCAGTTTGAAAAAGGTGACATGTCAGCAGCAGAAAATAATATTATGGCCATCAAACAGAACCTGCTACGGAGCTGCCCAGTAGGATCTTTGTGAGGGCCCCGGCGCAGGGCATGGGAATGCCATTCACCTTTCTGTGGGTGGGTGGGGATCCCAGACTCAGCCTGCAGGTGCGTCCAGACTGGCCCAGGGGTCACACAGGTGGTGGGATGTTGCTTGGGGAAATGCTGTGGACTCCCCCCCTCCCAAGGGCTTTGTGATCATCAGAGTTGTTAGGATCCTGGAGCCTCCAGGAAGCAGGTGGGAATGGCTGCTTCCATTCTGCAGAGGGGAAGACCAAGGTCAGGTGTCAGTGCATCACTTGCGGACACATTCCCCGTGCCCTGGGGAAGGTGGCAGGCATGATGCACAGCTGCAGCCCTGGCCCTGCCACTTCTGGCTGTGTCACCTTGGCCTAGGTTGCCTCATCTGTGAAGTGGGGACAGTTGCCACAAAGATGGACTGTGGCTGTGTCAGCACGGTCCCTGTCCTATGGGAAGCACTGAGATGTGGCAGTCATGGTCAGCCCATCTTGTGGGGACCACCAGCCCCATCTCTATGACCTACCAGAGCTCTACTCTCCCTAGAGAGCCAGAGGAAAAGAGGCCGCAGCTGCCCAGGGTGTGGCCTGAGCATTCATGTGTTGTCCGGGTGTGGGTGTGGGTGTGGTCAGTACCCTGTGCCTACATAGGTCAGGTGTGTGTGTAGGGGTGTGTGTGTGTGTGTGTGATCTTAAGAGATTCTGCTTCCTGGGTCCTGCCCCACCTACTGAAGCGGCAGATCTGCCGGTGGAAACCGTGAATCTCTTTTAATCTGGCACTTGTTCGAGGCACCCGGGACACTGTTTGAAAGGACAGTAGACCCTTGGTCAGAACAAGAAAATTTGAGGGGAGACTCACGGTGGCTTTCTTTGCTTTCTTTTGCCTGATCTTTTCTCTGGCAGCTCTGGCCAGGTCTTGCCAGTTCTTTTAACAGGTGGCAGAGGGTACACACCTGTGTGGTCATTGAATGAGATGCCATGTAGCTCAAGTCCAGAACAATTTTGATTATACTGTGAGCCAGATCCTGATGGAAAGGACAGAGAGAACGAGATCGAGTGGTCCCTGGGTGTCTGGGGAGGTGATTCCAGGAGCCCCGTGGATACCAAAGACTGAGGATGCTCAAGTCCCCACATAATATGGCCTGGCAGGTGCATGGAACCTGCCCACGTCCTCCTGCATACTGAAGTCACCAGATTATGCCTATGCCTCGTACATGTCACACTGTGTTCTTTAGGGACTAAAGACAAGCTCAGCACAGGTGCAGTTTTTATGAATATATTTGATCCGTGTTGAGTTGAATCTTTGGACACAAAACCTACGGATGCTGAGGGCTGACTGTGGCTCTCAGGAGTCCGTGCCAGATCTGTGCGCTCTGGATCTCCAAGGATTAGGAGTCACTGCTCTGAATGTCATTTCTGTCCACCTGAACTCCAGTCTGTCCCGAGAAGTGCAGAGTCCAGGCACAGACACCCAGGGGGACGTCCTTGTCATACTGCAGAGGTGGGAGGGGTGTCTTGGTCATGATGGGGTGAGGAGGTGCTGTCACACAGGGCTGGAACTCTAGACCTGAACTTCTCTGTGCATCTGCCAGGATGTGTCTTTGGTACCTTCATTCACCTGTCCCCAGGCATCTCTCATCCTCTTCTCCTGTACCTCTGTGGTGCTGCCAGCCTCCAGTCCCGGAGGGCTGTTGCCACGTCATGCTTGTGAGTCTTGTCCCATGTTGTCTTGTGCACCTATTCCTTGGCACCCCCGAGTCTGCGCTTTGCCTCTTACTGAGGGCCCTGCTCCTCGGGGATCCTCTGTGGCTGGGCTCTTCCTCCAGCACACCTGCGCTCCTGTTTCCTCTTCCTCTGAAACCTTCAGTGGCTCCCTCTTGCTTGGAGAATGCAGCCCAGCGTCAGAGTCCCTTGATGTGGCTTAGTCCTCGTGTCCAGCCGTGACTCATGTCAGCTCAGCCAGCGACGCGTTGCCTTTTCTGCCCTTTCCTTATTTCCCATGGAGCTCAGCGTGGGTGCTTCCTCTCAGGCTCCTTCTTAGCCCTCTTCCTGGTGATCTCCTGATGCCTTTGTACCTGGGTAGACTTTTATTTATTTTTTTAATATATTA